TCGCGACAAGGAATACATCCTTTTTTTTTTTTAGCTTCCCCTAAAAATGCCATTTTCACAAAAGTAATTGTTCAAAACAAACAAGAACTCAACAAATAGTTATTCACAAATAATACACATAAAAATAAAATTTAGCAGACCTATAAAAAACATAATTATCTTCTTACAAAGTTAAACAAATGAAAATAAAAGATTGAAAAACATTAATCATTTTGAATTTATTTGCATTAAAACACAAAACGAATAAATATCCTTACCGAATATTTTCGTATAAAAAATAATAAATTCTTTTCATCCAGCACAGCCAGACAGTGAAAAAACAGACTGGCGCCAATAAGTATAAATACCGCTTATTAACTTTCGTTATCATAAACAGTCATTTCCGTTGCAAACTATATGCCAACGCAATAACTACGTGATTCGATGAGAGTAGATTTAAACCAGAACACTACTAAAACTTTTCCGTACTGCTCAAAGCTTTAATTTTTGAAATGATGAAATTTAACATTCTACTTATCAGAAAATACACATCATATTAAAATAAAACACTGGTGTGCTTTTTTTAACAAGAAGTTAGTAACAAGTTTTTAATACATTCAACAACTTATTTCTTAACAAACATTTAACATAAATTTTCTTCTAACTAATGACTTAAAACTGAAAATTGCAATATTGCACTAATGTGCTTTTACATATACACAAATATACAGTTTACATTCCGCCACACCAATTTATAGCGAATCTTTAAACGTAAATACACTAATGTGCTATTTATTTACGAGAATGGATTTTTCCCATTATATTACAGAAGAAAAATATCTCCTAAAATATATAAATGCAACACTTTGATTGATTTAAAACGCTTATGCACTGATGTGCTATGTGTTAGTGGGAAAATTTGTTCCCAAATATACCACAAAAAGAAGATATCTTGTTAGATATATAAAAGCAACACATTGAGTGTTTAAAACTCTTATGCACTGACATGCTACTTCTGCTTTGGGAATTGATTTCCCTAAAAAGCAATAAATAACTAAATTATATTTTTCAGGCCTGGAAATGAATACTGTGGAAAACGCATACCTTGTCTCTTGTCACACTGATCTCGGTGGAACCTTCAATTTCTTTTGTCTGTGACGGCGCGAATGTGCTAGTAGTAAGGAAGGTAGCACTTGTGATTCATCAATTTCTTTATTCACAACACAAGAAACCACAAATACAACATCCAATTAATACGCTTAGAAAACTTTAATACATATCCGAGTTGGAAATCTCCGCCAGCGAACTAAGGTGTGGAGATTTTTTATTCGTCCAGTGATGACGAGTGCTATCTTGTTTAACGTCTCTTACCGTGTCGCCAACTCGGATATCTATTAACGTTTTCTAAATGTATTAATTGAATGTTGTATCTGTGGCTTCTTGTGTGGTGAATAAAGAAATTGATGCATCATCAGTGCTACCTTCCATACTACTGGCACATTCGCGACGTTACACAACTCTTAAATTAACTAACAGTCCTATGTAAATCGCTCTGGTGTAAATTGTACATGATCTTGTTGAAACGTCTCGCCTTCTTAGAATCATCCCGACATATTTTCCTTCCTAGCACGACTCCTGTTAAGTGCAATCTGTAATTTCTTGATTAAAGCATATCCGTGCTTTTTTACCTCCTTTTCAGCACCATCATGTGCATCTTTAACTGCTTTAGTGAAGTTTTCAATTAAGCTATCCATGCCATCCCCAAAGTGCATTGGAAAATAGAAAATCCTTTTCTTACCCAGATTGGATAAGAAAAGACTGTCAAGCATTAATAGATGGATTAAAAAAAAAAAAAACAAAGTAGTAGTTCAAGGAAACAAAAATATTTCTGTGTAAAAGATCTGAGAATATGAAATGAATCAAATCATACTTCAGTTGTGTTCACAAAATCAAGAAGTGGATATTTTAACAAAATATCTACATACGATAAAATTGAAAGGTCAACTATTAAACTATGGACATGACTGACTAATTAAAATTACATCTTTAAGCACAAATAAGGCGGGAATTGATAGTATATGTTTATAAAGTATAATTTTAAGTTTTAATATTTTGGCAACGTTAATATTTTCTTTGATGGTAAATGATTAAGTTAAAAAATTGTATTTGCCATCTAGAGAAATTATTATGGTTTTGGATAATGTGGTAAGGCTTTTTGTGATTAATCTTATTTAATAAAGTTTTCTCTTTATATATTACTATAATGTGTTTTTAATTAGAAGTAGATAATTCCTAGAGAATACTATATGACTACTTTTCACTAAGATGAATAATGAATTTAGAATACAAAGAATGATTTTTTTCTCTTATACAAATAATAATATAAGTATTAAATTAAGTATTTATAACATACATTTACACTGAAAATAAAAAGAATGCTCTTACCTGTGGAAAAATCGAGTGTTGCGTTCCGCAACATCAGTGGAATAAGAATACGGATATTTAAGTGAGTATGATTTTACTTGTGCGAAAGTTTGTTTGAGTGGAACACTGGATTACCTTTTAGTTGTATAATGTTTTATAAATCTACAAATCACTTTACTTGTAGGTAGTTTAATATTAAAATTTACGTTATATTTCTTTTACAAATGCAGCTTATTTTCAACTGAAAGATTCAAGCATGAAAAGCTTCACTACCATCATGATGTAAAGCTACATTACATAATTTGCATTTATAAACAATCTGGCTACGTCATTTCTTTACAACGAAGTCTTCTGTTATTCTCGGAATTTACGATAAAATGTCTACCATCTCCATGCAATGGCATTTGAATGCTGAATTTATTAGGTCTTCCTGTTGATGATCTATTTCTGGCCAATTCCACACTCTCAGTAGAAGTTTGCAAAAGGAATAATGCTATCTTGCGTCTGAAATCTAAAAGTGACATTTTATTTCCAGTAGTAGAAAGTCGTGATATTCTTCATACATTTGTCAAGGATCCATCAATGTAATTAATAAATATTGGCCACACCCATTTTTTGCCACGAACACTTTTAAACTATCGCTTAAATCGACTCCTTCCATTTTGGCATTCTGTTGTTTAATAAGATGAGGCTGAGATACTAAATCCTTTTTCCTTTGCGTTCTTGAATAACGAGAAACAGTTTTTTACGGGCTGAATTTTTCCAAATGTTGAACCAACAGTTACAACTGAATTATCGTTCCACCGGACAAAAATTATTGGCTGAAACTTACTTCTTACGTGAACTTCTACTTCCCCAGCAGTATCATTTGGTAAAATATCATTATCATTATTCAAAACATTATCATTCCCTTCTTCAGCGCTAGCTTCTGCAGTTTCTGGTGGAACAATAGCAGTATCAGTTTCATTCTGGTCATCATTATTAAGAGCTTGCAAAGGCATGATTAAATAAGGGGAATACCCTTTTCCCGCTGATGTTGCACCAGCGCTACTATTTTCCCTTCCATTCTCACATAAATACAAACAGGTGATTAATGGAATGTTCTGATAAGAGCTGACCTTGGCTAAATATATAGATCACCCGTAAAGGCGGCGATTCTTTCGTTAAATATTTTCGGCAAAAATACCTGGTCGAAAATTTTGCTTCAAATATGAGACCAAATATTATAAACAAAATTATTCTTGAAAAAAATATTTTTTCACAGAAATAATCATCATAATATTCCCGACAGAAAATCACCAGCTAGTATAAAATATCCTGGGTAGTTATATTTTTATTCGCATTTATTTTGACCATTGCGTCAACGCAGCACCAGCGAGTAATGGGTTAACGGTATTCCTCCTGATTTGAGCTTTTCTTTTCACTTAGAATCGCATAGTTCTTTTTCTTGACTCGGTTTAAATAATTCATATACTCATTGTGTAGAACAGTGATCAAAGTTATTTGTGAATGTCTTATTTAAAATTTTTGGGGAACCGTTATTCATACATTACTGAAGACAGGTATGTATGTTAGCTTCCCATACGCTGATTTCTAAAAGACGTCGTTTATATGAGCTACACACCAATGCAAAACTCGTAATTTTATCTTTTACGAAATCAAATTTTATGTGGGCATTTTCAGATCTGTTGCATGTAGATTAAATCATGTCATTTTTGCGATTCTTATCGTTGCCTTTTTTGCATATTAGTAATTAGTAATTTTTTGCATATTATTATTAGTAACCTGCACCTCTTTTGTAAAAAAAGGATCTATTATAATTGTGTAAGGAATAACTTACTGAGTGGAATCTTGTTCGTAGAGGATGTATATAAAAAAATCAGATTATCTGCAGTTTTGAGAAAATACAATTCATGACTTAGCCTGAAAGCATTTCTTGTAGGTTTCCAGTGGTCTGCGTCAGTTTTCATGACACAAAATGCCACAAATAGGCATGAGAGTAATATATGTGCATATTATTATGCTAAATATTAGTATTGCTAAATATCAGAGTAATATATTATTTATGCTAAATTGAACTCAAGATGGTTTAAGATATTTCTGTCTTTTAAGAAAACGAAATTGATAGTATTTAAATCAAAATATTAAAGCAAAGTATTTAAAGCACTACTGAACTAGAATTCACAATTTTGATTTATAAGTTAAGAATATATATTTTTAGACTATTTCTAATTGATTAAATTTTTTTAAAAAAAAGTATGATTTTTAAAAGAAAACATGAAGGCCAGAAATTTCATTTCCATAGTGGCACTCAGAAGCTTTCCTTTCCAAGAAAAGCTATAGATTCAGTATGAAATATTAGCTTTTACTTATTTTTTGTTATGAGAAAATTTTGAAATATAGTGTTGTAAGAATTCAGATTTATTCCTGCTTCATAAGATCTTTCTAATATCTTTCTTTTATATGCTAGAGAATCTTCTAATATTTTTAGTTTTGATCAGTAATACTTTCTCTAATGTATTTGTCAAATTTTTACCTCCTTTATGAAAGCTACCTTTAAGTTTTTTGAAAATTATGTGTGAAATATTTTTTTTTAGGCACTACAAACGGAATTCCTCAGAACAGTCCTTTGACTAGACCTATGCAGAGGAAATTGGTAACATTGATCAATTGTCAGCTGGTTGAAGAGGAAGGTAGAGCACGAGGAATGAGAGCAGCCAGATCTCTTGGAGAGCGTTCCGTAACAGAACTAATTTTGCAGCATCAGAATCCTCAGCAATTATCTGCTAATCTATGGGCAGCAGTAAGAGCCAGGGGTTGCCAATTTTTAGGGCCAGGTAGTTCATTGTATAATATATATTTGTTGAAGTATAGTTTTGAAATTTGGAAAAGAATATTTTTAAAATTATAGAAATATAATAAGTAAGATTAATGGTTGCATCTCTACTTTAAATCATATTTTTTCCAATTCTACAAGTATCAAACTCATTAACGGCCGAGAGGTAAAATCGCTGAACACTTAAGAGTTCGGTCCATGGTAGGAAACCCAGCAAACGGGTTGTTTGCTTGGGCATTTTCGTGGTTTTCCCCATGTGTAGCGTTTATACGAGCCAATTTCCTTTAGAAAATCCTCCACGAAGGCATCCCCCTTATGCAGATAGCCCTTAAGTGCTTAGCCATAATTAACTTAACCAAGCCTACAAGTATAAATTAAGAATATATGTTTTATAAATTTTTTAATCCATTTTAATTAAAAAAATAAGTGCGACTAAAGAGGCTGGAAATTTATCTTTTGTATACATGGTGTGATGGTGTTTTAATACGGTGAGATGAATGATCAGTTACAGTTGTCCTACTACTGAATATTGTTGCGTGTATACGAGTTCGTAATAGATTAAATGCATGCAGAATGGTGATAGCTGAATAAAAATTATGTTACCGAAAGAAACACTTTACAGTTCTGGAACTTCCCACAAACATACTCATACAGCTGTTCATAGTATCCCAAAGTACAATTTGTAATTACACTTCAGTGTACTAAAAACATTAAACACAATGCAATGCAAAGCACATCTAAAGAGCGAAGCTCATATGGATGTATCTCAGTACTCCGAACTCACGCTTTATCTAAATATCTCTTGCTGAGAAACTGATGCTCTCTCCTGTCTTGAATAGATTTCTCTAAGCCACATAGAAGTCTCTAGTACCTTCTACTTCTCAGAATTACTGGAAGGCATGTAAGAGCTGTATACAGTTACAGTTACATAGAGGATCAGTTACAATACCCAATACAGTTATACAAGGACTGGACTGCAATATCGCCAAATTCTCGCCAATTTTCATGACTTTTACGGTTTGTCGCCAAATTTGTGCCCAAAAAGGAGTTGCCAAAATCATCCCCAGCTTGGCAAGATGTTGCCAATTTATAGAGGTAACCATTTACGCAACGTTAAATAGACTTGCCTCTGTATTCTTATTTTTCCAGCAGAGCATATTCTCTTTCAAACTTTACATATAATATCACTAAAATTATTTACGTGTGTACAAAATTCATAACGATATAAACAGTATATCTGTTCAGTTATATAACTTTTGAGTATAATGATGTTATATAATCAGCTGTGCATATAAACTGTCCTGGGGTTGGACAATAAAAATGGAACATTGGATGAATGTAGCACTTTAGATTCCAAGCCAGTGTATGCATTTCCATTTGAGAGTTCTGATTGATTTTGAATCTTATCGAGAGCAGCGAAGTTTGAAGCTGGAATTTTCAGATGTATTAGAGGTTTTTAACTTCAAGCTTTGAGAAGTAAAGGATTCTAAATTGAGAATGTATTGTAGTTCAAAAGAGGATAAATTATTAGTGCTTGACTGTCTAGTGTCTCTGTTATCGAGGTAACTTATCCTTTTTAATGGATCGAAGGCTACAGTATCCAGGCTCATGTCTACATACCTAGAAAAGTGAAGAACTTTGACCAATTGCTGTAATTGGCAAGATTGAAAGAAAGGTATTTAGAATATGATATGATGAATATATGAGAAAATAACATGAAGGGAAAAAATTAAACTACATTTACTTTTGAAGAAAAATTTTACTTCCAACATTTTAATATTATATTATTATGCTTCCTCCCCCCAAACTAAGTCTACTCAATTGCTGCAGTTACTGTAATGTAGAGAGTAGAAAAAGATTTCTAAAATGCAGAATAAACATTTATAGTTTTAAGATATTTTCTATATGATTTTTACGTAGAAAACACTACTTTTCTCACAATTAGCAGTTTTTGTAGCAGTTGTGAGGAAAGTTTGTAATAATATTGTGATATTTGGAACTTTGTTCTGGAGATTGTATTTTAGAATAAACTGCATTAGTTCAAAAGATTACTCTTACATTTTTTTGTTTCATTTTCCTAGCTGTAGCAGAAATAAAACTCATGAAATTTTTCTCTCTTAATGAGGAGTTCTTTATTAAAGTCACCATAATCATCATTTTCATACAAAAGTTTCTACATTATAAAAAGGTATAAAGCTGTTGAAATCTTGTGGTGATTTCTTTGAATATTTTACCTCGAGTAAAATGTGTTTTTTCCCCCTCTCAGTTTAATTTGGTATGCAAAGCAGAATTTCCGTATTCTATACATACCTCAATGATCCACATGACTAACACCTATAAAACAAGGTTTCACACAAAAAATGTCGCTCCCAAAAATGTGGCACGTGGGGGCACACTGCCTTTCCACCTCCTCTAGCTGTGCCACTAAGCTTCAGTGGCGAAGGTTCTTACAGAAGCACATTATCTGGGCTGCCATGTGCATACTGAAGCATGGTGGCAGGCTACTGTCAATTTGAGCTACAGTATCTTGAATGCTGTGGGAAAACTCATTATTCTGTATTATCATGACACTCAAAAACTGTCGATAGACTAAGTTTGGCAAATTGCTCAGACCTATTATTTGAGGGACATGCATGTGTGAAGATGACTGTGTGCTAGTAAAACTGCTGACAGAGTAATTTGAAAAACACAAAATGAACATCAATATTTTGCACAGTTTCCTGAACTGAATATCAATGAACCTGCTTGGGAAGTACAAGAGGACAGCTGGAGAATGTTTTTTCCTCCATTATCATGAAATGACATAACAATTATTTTGCAAGAGAACTAGCTAAAAGTACCTCGCTTTAATGATTGATTTCTGAACTTTTGGCCTCGAAAAGAGGGTTACATCTTATTAAGAAAATATTACATATTGAATGCAAGGGTTTTATTTTCATTCTGCAATCTCTGTAGGTGAACTTTCATTTTGATGCTGTTTTCTTTTTTTTCCTGGGAAAAGGCTTATGCAAAAATGCTTAAGAAAGAATTTAAAAATTTAATAAAGAAATAGATAATCACCTTAGTGAAGCTGTCTTATGATGGAGCAATGAATTTATAAGTTTGCAAACAGAATTGCAATCTGTTATAAATTTTTTAAATAAATATTCCATATGTTGTCAGGTAAGATGATTCAAGTTGTATCTGCGTAATGTAATTAATTTACATTTTGTTTGTGGTAATGCCATTTTTTTAAAATTTTATTTACACTAACTTATGTCTTTGTAAAAGACATTTTATTAATGTACTTAGGATCAGTTTAACCTGTCAGTGCGCTCAAGGTTACACACACACTGTTTATGTGTGCTTGCAACTAAATGCAGCAACATGGACTAGATTCTCAGCTGAGAAGCCATCATATTTGGAAAAGGTTGATAATCCAGCCAGAAAGTCCATCTTGGAGATGATATAAATTCCTTTTGACAAGTATCCAGATCCTTACAAACTTTAACAAAATTCTCCAGAGCCCTGTTGATGAACTGTTGCCAGTGTTCTACTGTGTTAAAGTGTGTAACATTTTCTAGTGGGTGTGCAGAATCATATTGTCTTTTTCACTTCCTTCTGGTAACATTTCTTGCACTTCAGTTGTCACTGAAGCTCACACGACAGTATCATCATTTGCACTAACAAACTCCTCAAAACTAACACAAGGGTTTGCAAGTCTTCTAAACTTCCATTCGTCAGATGAAGTGCTATCATTGTTTCCATCTGACTTGTTAACAGGATTAGCATCTTCCTGTCTCCAGGCTCTGCTAAGAGTTCCATATCTGTTGTGTGACAGAAATTTTCAGGATGTGGCGATAGATTTTTTTACATCCAGCATAGTCCAAATAAGTGCTTCTGTCTCCTTTTTCAAATGAAGAAATCAAGTCTCTTTTGAAAGTGATACAGCCAACCATCAGAATAATTGAAATCTTGAATATATGAATTTTTTGCAATCTTGTTTGCTTTTGGTTGAATCATATTTGTACTTCCAAGTACATTGGATGCACATATATGATTGAACCATTCTGTGAAGTAAATTTTTAACATCTTTGTACTTAGCACTGCGAAATTGCTTAGATTTCTTCCTGTTACTCAATGCAGCAGCATTAAGACTTTTTTTTTTTTTTTCACAATCTTTAAATCTTGTGGATAAGGTAAATTCGGCAATTCCTTACTTTTGGATAATTTTACTTTTCTTCAATACACAACAGTCTACTTCCTGTAGAATTTTAGTTTTGTTTGCAGATCCTATGCCTGTCTTCTTCCTCTTGGCTATGCATGCCTCTTTAACTGCTTCCAATTTAACATTTGTATCCTGAAGGCTACCAGAGTATTATCTACAAGTCTGTTGAACAGTGCCACTAGAATTTTTGAAAAATAGACATGCTGGTGTGCACTGAAAATTCATGTGTAACTAAACTACAGTCCAGTAAATCTATGCAAATATTTTATAGTAAATGGAATTCATTTAGATTTTAACTGGAATTATTCATTTAGTATGCTGTGTCCTACTGAGTTTTAGAAAGAAGAGAAGATGCTAACTCACCGCAGTGAGCAATGGAAGAAGACAGGTATGTAATTTTGCCTTGCTAATTCAGAATTATTCAAGGTTTTATATTAGTCATGATAGCTAACTTTTGTAAAAAATCATATCTGAACACAGAATTACATTTGTTGATTGAAGTTCATTTGTTAGCACGATGATCACTATTGCTGAGCAAAGTTTCTTTTGCTGGCTATGTTTTAAAGCATGCAGTATATTCTGGTTTTTTTTTTTTTTTTTTTTTTTTTTTTCTAATTAAATGGAATGGAATATCTCTGAATGCAACTCTAGCTGAGAAACAAAATGAGAAAAATATGAAAAACTTTAAAAGTTCATGTTAAATGATATAATTTAAAGACACAATAGACTAAAAAACAGTTCATGATTCGTGCTAACCAAAATTCACGTGAGCCGATAAAACTTCCCATAAAATC